GTGGTGGCAGGTGGGGAGAGGAGATCCTGGCAAGAGCCACCAAGTCACAAAAAGCAGCTTCCTGGAGGAGAGGTTCGGAGGTCTCTGATCATCCTATGAAATCCCATAGCGCTTGGCGTTGGATCTTCCCTCAATTCCCGGGACGAATAAGACCCGAGGATGGGGGTCAGACTCTGGCAGGCGCATGGTGACCCCTTCCTGAGGACCTCGGAGGGTTGGGTGGAGAAGGACATGAGGCTGAGCCCACGAGTCTTCCCCAGGGAAGGCTGTATCTGCCACACTGTCCGGCAGCGCCTTCCTCCCGTCCTCTGCCATCTTGGTACTTGGTGGATACCCCATAGGGACCCCCAGTCCTTCCTGCACTGCTCTGACCCTGTGAAGGGACCATGAGTCGGTTGTACTCTGAAAAGAGTCCCCCCAAACCCAATATAGGCTGACGCAGCAAAGACTCCGCTTATCCCCATTTTACCAATGGGGAAACTGAGGCTCCCTACAGTCAGGTGACTTCCTTCGGGTCTCACAGCAAACTCACACCAGGGCTGATTCCAGGGTGTTCACCTTTCCAAGTTCTATCATCTTGGGCCATGGCAGGCCTATGGCTTGGAGGAGATGAGAAGGAAGTGGGGAAGAGCTTGGTCTTCAAAACCAGCAGGCAGGAAGTATCCGGATCAGCCCCGGGGACTGGACCTGGAGGCGTGCACCTCAGTGGTAGGGGACAGCACTATGATGGGGGTGAACAGCCATCCACCCTTGACCCTTTTTGCTTCTAATACTGCCATCCCACTCTCAGCCCAAGACAGTGGGAAGTCAAGAGGGCTCTGTAGCATCTGTGGGAAGGACCCATGGTGGCCCATCATCTTCCTCCCTGACGATTGGCCCCTTTCTTTGAGTCAGAAGTAGCTGGCTCAGACCAGGTGTGGTGGCTCACGCCTGTAATCCCAGCACTTTGGGAGTGGGAGGCCAAGGCAGGTGGATTGCTTGAGGCCAGGAATTCAAGACCAGGCTGGCCAACATGGTGAAACCCCATCTCTACTAAAAATACAAAACAATTAGCTGAGCGTGGTGGTGTGCACCTGTAGTCCCAGCTACTGCTTGAACCTGGGAGGCGGAGGTTGCAGTGAGCCGAGATGGCGCCACTGCACTCCAGCCTGGGCCACGGAGTGAGACTCTGTCTCAAAAAAAAAAAAAAAAAAAAAAAAAAAAGGTTAGCCAGACATGGTGTCTCACACCTGTAATTCCTCAGCTACTTAGAAGGCTGAGGCAGGAGAATCGCTTGAACCTGGGAGGCAGAGGTTGCAGTGAGCCGACATTGTGTCCAGCCTGGTCAATAGCATGAGACTCCACCTCGAACAAACAAAAAAAACAGAAAAAGAAAAAAAAAAAAAAAAAAAGAAGTAGTAGCTGGCTCAGATCCAAATTCAGGGTTGGAGCCAGGGTTCATAGCCAGGCTGATTCCTAACTTCTGTACTCTGCCCTGCCCACTGTCCCCCTAACCAAAGTAGCAAGCAAAGATTTCTTAAAGAAGGAGACCGGCATCGGCTTGGTTTCTGGACTACTGTGAATTGGCCAAGAACTTCCCCACCTCACGTGTTCACATTGCGCTCTTTGACGACCCATGGTATAGGACAGAAACTGCAAATATGACAGTCCCAGAGACTTTCTCATTTACCTCCTGTTGGGGGAAAGGAATGGTGGGCTGGGGGCTGGGCACTGGCTGCCTGCCTAGACACCTACTGGAGTGGAGAGGGTTTGTGTTAGGGGAGCTGAGTGTCTCCTATTGGGAATAGAACTGCCATCTCGGGTCAACCCAAGGCCAGGCACGGTGGCTCACACCTGTAATCCCACCACTTTGGGAGGCCGAGGCAGGTAGATCACCTGAGGTCAGGGGTTCATGCCAGCCTGGCCAACATGGTGAAAACCTGTCTCTATTAAAAATAACAAAAATTAGCCCGGTGTGGAGACACTTGCCTGTAATCCCAGCTATTTGGGAGGGTGAGGCAGGAGAATCCCTTGAACCCAGGAGACAGAGATTGCAGTGAGCCAAGATGGTGCCACTGCATTCCAGTCTGGACAACAGAGCAGATTGTGTCTCAAAAAAAATAAAAAATAAATGAGGAGGGGCCAAATCCAGCCTCCAACTCTCCTAGCCTAGGGTGAGGAGTGAGCTTGTGATCAGGAGAGTCAGGGGTGCTTGGAGGGGCACCCCAATACCAGGTAATATCCACTGTGCTCCCTGACACCCGCCTGTGCCCCAAATGGAAATATTAAGCTCTCCCAGAAGAGGTCTTCATGGCCTGACTGGCTTTGGGCAGCCATGACTAGTGTTCATTGGCTGCTTCAGGCGCCGATCAGAAGCCATCTGTGCCTTTCCACCAATGAGGTTGACCTCCCGGTTCTACCTCCATGTTCAGGCTCAGCGCCAGCGTTGTAAGGAAAGGCCTGGGCACCACTTTGCTTCCTCCTGGTAACATCCTGGGCCATGCCGAGGAGACCATGATTCTTCCAGTCCCTGGCAGCAAGGTGCCCTGAGAGGTGGCAGCAGCTTTTGTCTTCTCATCCAAACAGCCTGCCAATGGCTGGGTGGGGTGGCTCACGCCTGTAATCCCAGCGCTTTGGGAGGCTGAGGCCAGAGGATCACTTGAGGTCAGGAGTTCGAGACCAGCCTGGCCAACAGGGTGAAACCTCATCTCTACTAAAAATACAAGAATTAGCCAGATGTGGTGACAGACGCCTATAGTCCCACCTACTCTGGAGGCTAAGGCAGGAAAATTGCTTGAACCCAGGAAGCAGAGGTTCCAGTGAACCCAGATCACGCCACTGCACTCCAGTCTGGGCGGCAGAGCGAGATGCCATCTCAGAAAGAAAGAAAAAGGAAACAAAGAGCCTGCCAAAAGAGCTTGGTCCAGGTGCCACCTGGCTTCTCATACTTTCTTCCTTCCTCAGCAAGCAGAATGAAGGTTTTACTAGGCGCCAAGTTCTGTGATAAAAAGTGAGGTTACAGAGGTGAATCAGACACCACATCTGCCCTGGTGCTCAAAGTCAAGTTGCTAGTGGTGATCGGAGGACTTCTGGGGAGGAAAAGACCTGTAAACAGATGAGGACAGTCAACTGCTACTAGGTAGAAGGCCAAGGAAGGAGGAGGGACCAGATCTGTGCAGGGAGGGGAGATGAGAGGGTGGGCAGGGGGCACGCAGAGAATCCTGGAATCTTTGCCCTGGAAGGGACGTCAGGAAGCAAAAGCCAACCCTCTCATTTTGTGGATGGGGAAACTGAGGCCCAGACTGGGGAAGTGACGTGGCCAGGGTCTCTCGGTGAGATAGAGGCAGGCTCTCAGACTCCTGAATCCCAGCCAGGGCCCTATTGACGGTGGTGCCAGGTGCCCTTCCTGGTTTTCTGTGTCCCGATCCTTGTGTCCTGACTCCACTTTTGGAAAAACATTTGCCATCTCTATCCAACGGTCACCTAAGAGGTGCCCACTCAGGAGCCGGGCGCTGCCAGCCCTTCCTCCAGAGGTGGCGTGGCCTCCTCTCAGGCCTAGAGTGGGGTGGTTGCGTTTCTCTCTCTCTCTCTCTCTATCTCTCTTGCATTTTTGTGAATCTAATGATGAACTTATACTACCACGCTTTTCCCTTCTCTTACACACCTTACCTACTAAAGGAGGAAGTGCCACTTTGTTGGTAAGTGGACGTTAACCAAGAGGGACTTAAAAATCAGAACTTAAAAAAAAAAAAAGAAAGAAAAAGAAAAAGAAAAGAGAGAAACAGAAAGACGGTCGGGTGTTACTGACAGCTCCAAAGCTCTCTGCAGGGCCGGAAAACAAAGAAAAATATTAACAGAAAAATGTCAGGATCCCCAGGAGATCAGATGTTGTTTGATTTTTGGTATCTACTGACATTTGTGGATTTTGGTTTTTATTTCTGTTTTTCCTCCCTTTCTTCGGTTCAGTTTTGAGTTCAGTTGTCCCCCTCGCCCCTCCCCCATCTGTGTGCCGTGTGACTCCCCCCTCCATCCCCTCGCCCACCCCCCAAGAGCTGGGGGCCCGGCCTGATGGGCTGGCCCTGGCCCTGCTCCCGGTGCCGCTGTCTCTTCTCTCTGCCGGGAATCGTCCGTCCCTTGGGGGGGCGATGCCAGCCCCGACGCCTGTCCTGGAGCCCCTGCCCCTTTGGCCCCCGCCCCCCACCGCTCCGTCCCTCTTGTGTTTTGCATGCCAAGAACCTTGCATGAGCTGCACTGTTGAGGCCAGAAGGTGAACACCCAGGAGAGGCAGAGGCAGGGCAGGCGCGGGGAACCGTGTGTGCGATGCTCCGGGACTGGCAGCCCGCGGCCGGGGCCCGGTGAAAGCCCTCTCTCCTTCTCTCCCCCCACCCCACCCGTCCGCTCTCCCACCCCCACCTCTCTCCTCCTGCTCTGTCCTCTCTCTCTGCCTCCACTCTGGTCCCCTGCCTGCCTGCCTGGGTTTTTTCTGTTTCTCGAACTTCTCCCTGGCTTCCATCCTTCTCTCTCTCTGTCTCTCTTCCATTTCCCTCCCTGTCTCTCTTCTCCTGTCTCTCTCCCCTTCTCTCCCCCGATTTTTTTCCTTCTCCTCCATCTCTTCGTTCTCGCTCGTTCTCCCTCTCTCATCTCTCTCTGTCTCTCTCCCACTTTCTCTCTTCCTCTTTCTTCTCTCTCGCTGTTTCTCCTCCCTCTTTATTCTCGCCATCTCTCTTTTCCTCTCTGTCTCTCACTCCCTTCTCTCTGTCTCTCTTTCCTCTCTGTCTCTCTCCTGTCTCTCTCTCTCTGTGTCTCTCCTCCCTCTCTCTCCCCCTGGTCTCTGTCTCTGTCTCTCTTACTCTCCCTCTCCTGTCTCTGTCCTCTCCCTCTTCCTCTCTGTCTCTCTGTCTCTCTCCTGTCTCTCTCTCTCTGTGTCTCTCCTCCCTCTCTCTCCCCCCTCTGTCTCCGTCTCTGTCTCTCTCCATCTCCCTCTCCCCGCTCCGTGCCCTCTCTGCCTCTCTCCCCGTCAGAAGCCCAGCTCGCCCTCGCCCAGGGCCCGTGACAAGGCGGCGGACCCCGCACCCACGCCGCCCGCGCGGGGGAAGGAGAGCCCCAGCCCGCGCTCGGCGCCGTCGTCCCAAGGTCGCGGAGGCCGCGCGGCGGGCGGGGCGGGCAGGCGGCGGCGGCGGCGGCGGAGGCGGCGGCGCTCCCGGTCCTCGGCTTCCGCGCCCCGCCGCAGGGGTCGCCGGCGCGCCCGGCCCGCACCCCCCCGGGGCTCGTCGCGCTCGCTCAGCAGGGCCCGCTCCAGCAGCGACTCCGGCAGCGGCGGCGGCGCCCCCGGCCCCGGGCCCGAGCCCGGCTCCGAGCGAGGCCACGGCGGACACGGGAAACGGTGAGCGCGCTCGGCCCCGGGAGCCGGACTCCCGCCCCCACCCCGCACAGGGCTCCCCTCCGCTCGCGGACCCCCGCCCACGGGATCCCTCCCCGCACCGAGCTGCCCCCCACGGATCCCAGCCTCCCACGGAGCTGCCTCCCAGAGATCCAAAGCCCCCAGTGACCTACCCTCCACGGATCCCACCCCCCCCACTGACCTGCCCCCCAGGTATCCCACTCCCCATTGACCTACCCCCACAGGTCCCTCCCCCCCATCGAGCTACCCACCACGGATCCCACCCACCCACTGACCTACCCCCACAGGTCCCTCCCCCACATCGAGCTACCCATTACGGATTCCATCCTCCCCACGGAGCTACCCCCCACGGATCCCACCTCCCACCATTGAGCTGCCTCCCACGGATCCCAACCCCCCACGGAGCTCCCCTCCCTCTCCACAGACCCCCAAACCCCCATGGACCCCATGGATCCTCCCATGGATTTCCTCCCTCCACTGATCCCAACTCACCTCTCACAGGGCTCCCTCCCCAGGGAGTTACCTACCTCCACTGACCTCCAAACTCCACTGATCCCAGTCCCCCCACGGAGCTGCCTCCGCACCCTGAGCTACCCTCAGTTATCCCGACCTCTTCCCCACACTGATCCCTCTTCCCTTACTCATCACTGCTCCCAGGGAGCCCCCCTGCCCCCGTGAGGCTCCCTGCACCCCACAGAACACCCCCCTCCACTGATCCCCCCCAACGCGCCCCTTCACGGGGCTCCCCTGGAACTGACCCCTGCCCTTCACGTGTCTCCGCGTTCACTGCGCGCTCCGCACAAACTAACCACGAACTACGCGGACCCCGCCCCTCCGCCCTAAGTCCCTCCCCAGGGAGCCCTCCCCACCCCCAGCCCCCATCGGGGTCGCTGAGCCCAGCCCGGCGCCGTCCTCCTTCTCCAGGGCCAAGGAGCGGCCCCCGCGCGCGCGGCCCGCCAGCACCTCTCCGTCCCCGGGCGCGCACGGCCGGCGCGGCGGCCCGGAGGGGAAGAGCTCGTCGCGCAGCCCGGGCCCGCACCCCCGCTCCTGGAGCTCCAGCCGCTCGCCCTCCAAATCGCGCTCGCGCTCCGCGGAGAAGCGGCCCCGCAGCCCCAGCCGCTCGCCGTCGCCGAAGAAGCCCCTCGGCCGGTGAGTGTCCGCCCGGGGCGGGCGGCGGGGTGGAGCGGTCGAGCCGCGTCGCTCACTGACCTCGGGCCGGCCCCGCAGAGACAAGGACGGCGAGGGCCGCGCGAGGCACGCCGAGGCCGAGGCCGCCCGCGCCCGGCGCCGCTCCCGCAGCTACTCGCCCATCCGCAAGCGGCGCCGGGACTCGCCAAGCTTCATGGAGCCGCGGCGCATCACCAGGTATGGAGGGTCGTGGGGCGGGGAGGCGGGGGCGGGCCGGGGCGCAAGGCTGGGGCCGCTGACCCGGATCAGGGACAGAGACCTCGGCTCGGGCACCTTCTCCGAGGATTCGACTGAACCTGGCACGGAGAGGGGGGTGGGGGTGGGGGCCAAAGGACAGTGAGTGGGTTCTGCCAGGGTAGGGGGGCCGGGGAGGAGGGGGACTAGAACTGGAGGCGCTGAGGGCTACGAGAGAGAGGTGCAGGAGGCCTCGAAGAGGGAAGGGTCCTGTTGGGGGCCTGAGGCTCCATGGAGGGTGGAGACTCTGTACTTGGGTCTGGGTGGGCAGCAGCCGGCAAGGAATTCAGCTCTGCAAGAGTCGTCCTGCCATCCCTCCGGAGCCCCTCCCACCCTCCCCACATCCGTCTCCGGACAATGATGTCTCCTTTTCTCCTTCATCTCAAGGTCCAGCCTGCTGAGTGGCCTGTGGTCAGCCTGGGGGCCAGGCGGACCCCTCTGCACAGGCTGCCTGGGAGATGCCCAAGTGAGCTGGTCTGGCCCTGGTCAGCTGTCCGTCTGTCTGCCTCTCTCTATCTCACTAACCTGGGGGACTTGGAGGAGGGGACACAGCAGTCTGGTCTCTGGGGCAGCTGTCAGAGGAGCCAGCCACTCCCCCTTGCCCTCCACAGCCCAGTGGGGCCGTGCCCAGGACGTGGCTGGTGAAGTCATGATCAGTTTCTCTGCTAGGATTGGAAGTGTCTGGGCCTCGGTCTCCGGGTGACATTATGGACCACCTTTGTGGAAATCGCCCTGAAACTCTAGATTACTCTGGCAACGGCTGGGGGAACCACAGGCAGGAAGTCCTGAGCCCAGCTCTCTACCGCCTTGCTGGGCAGCCTTGGGAGATGGGTGTGCCTCTTTGGGCCTTGGTTGCCACATCTGTACAATAATCAGAGTTTTGTGAGCATCTTTTCAGCTCCAACAGGGTATGATTCTCCAGCTAGTCCCGCCTAGTCCTTGGTGATCCAGGTAATCAAGAAAAAGGTGGTGGTTCGGGGGCCATTCCCCAGAGCTCAAGGCCAGACCGCCTTGAAGGAGAAGCCAGATTATTATTATTACTATTTTTTGAGATGGAGTCTCACCCTTGTCGCCCAGGCTGGAGTGCAATGGCGCAATCTCAGCCCATCGCAACCTCCGCCTCCTGGGCTCAAGCGATTCTCCTGACTCAGCTTCCCAAGTAGCTGGAATTACAGGCGCCCACCATCATGCCCAGCTAATTTTTTTGTATTTTTAGTAGAGATGGGGTTTCACCATGTTAGTCAGGCTGGTCTCGAACTCCTGACCTCAGGTGATTCACCTGCCTTAGCCTCCCAAAGTGCTGGGATAATAGGCATGAGCCCCAGTGCCCAGGCAGATTGTGCTTCTTCTTTTTTTTTTTTGAAATGGAGTCGAGCTTTGTCATCCAGGCTGGAGTGCAACGGCACAATCTCTGCTCACTGCAACCTCTGCCTCCCGGGTTGAGGCAATTCCCCTTCTCAGCCTCCCGAGTAGCTAGGACTACAGGCACACACCACCACGCCCAGCTAATTTGTATGTGTGTGTGTGTGTGTTTTAGTAGAGACAGGGTTTCACCATGTTGGCCAGGATGGTCTCGATCTCTTGACCTTGTGATCCACTTGCCTCGGCCTCCCAAAATGCTGGGATTACAGGCGTGAGCCACCGAGCCCAGTCAATTGTGCTTCTAATGGATGTCCTCTCCCACCTCCTGCCCAGCCACCATGCCCAAGGAACAGAGCCATTGCAAACCCAGGGACCTTCCTGTGCCCCCCTTTCTTCTGATGCCAACTCACCCAGCTGGGGACGCCCCCAGACAGGTCACACACCCTGCCTGTAGGCCAGGCCCTCACACCTTCCACCTGGCATCCCCTCAGATCCTCTCCCAGGCTGCCTCCTCCTCCTCCACTAACGTACACCTGTTTTCTTCCTCAGAATTAACCCTGAGACAGGGCGGTGTTGCCCACTTAACCTCTCTTTTCTCTTCTCTGGGCCATAGCCTCCTGGCTTCCAACTAACTCCGGGCCAGCGGGAGGTAGCTGAGTGAGGAGTGGGGCCTCGGGACTGGACCGGGGCGTGGGGAGCAGCGACCAGGACTCTCCTCCTTATTCCTTTTGAGTGACCTGAAAGCAACAAAATCCTTGATTGAAGAGGGAACAGGGGACAGAGAGGCAGGGCTGGGATGTGGTCATAGAGGCCTCCATGCCAGCTTGTGATGGGAGCCATCTGTATTTGCAAGTTTCATTCATTCAACTTTTATTTATGTATTTATTTTAAGACAGAGTCTCACTGTGTCCCCAGGCTGGAGTGCAGTGGCGTAATCTCTCCTCACTGCAGCCTCCACCTCTGGGGTTCAAGCGATTTTCCACCTCAGCCTCCCAGGTAGCTGGGATTACAGGTGCGCGCCACCATGCCCAACTAGTTGTATTTTTAGTAGAGATGGGGTTTCACTATGTTGGCCAGGCTGGTCTCAAACTCTCGACCTCCGGTGATCCTCCTGCCTCAGCCTCCCAAAGTGCTGGGATTACCGGCATGAGCCACCATGCCTAGCCTCACCAAGTATTTATTAGCAGGTGTTCAGATCAGGCAGAGACATGGATTCCTTTCCCTGTAGATGGGTGAAGAAAAGCAAAATGATCAACATGGAATTTGCAAGTAACTATGGACTGTCAAATTCCATTTGGAGGAGGCAGCTGTCTCTAAGGCCAGGGCTCAGGGGAAACTGAGGCAGGAAGCCCTGGCCGCTGCCGGATGGGACTCAGGGCCTGGGATGGCCTGTAATCGGCTTTTCCTTCCCTGCAGTGCCCGGAAGCGTCCTATTCCGTACTACCGGCCCAGCCCCTCTTCCTCCTCCAGCTGCCTGAGCAGCGACTACTCCACCCGGAGCCACAGCCGCAGCCCCAGCCCCGGCCACAGCCACGGGAGCTACAGCAGTCGCAGTCGTGGGACCCGAAGCCGGACACGAAGCCCCTCTCAGACCCCCAGTCCCAGCTACCACAGCCGGAGCAGCTCCGAAAGCGGGGGCTTCTGAGCCCAACAAGACTCAGCTTGGTGCCCCCCTGACACTGGGAGAGGCGAGGGGCGGGCCCCAGGACCCCGGCGGGGAGGGCGCTGCACCTTCTTGCCCCCAAGGCTACAAAGAGGTCCCAGGGCCAGTGCACGGGCAGATGGGACCAGGGAAGACTTTGAGGGTGGGCACCCGGTGGACACGGAGAAGCCAGATGTGCTGCTTCTAAGGGTGTCCTCTCCCACCTCCTGTCCACCCACCGTGCCCAGGGAACAAAGAGCCGTTACGAACACAGGGATCTCCCCGCCCCCCCTTCCTGCTGATGCCAACTCACCAGGCTTGGGGACTGCTGCCGGTGGCTGGTAGGAGAATCTACAATCTGCTCCATCACCTCACTTTAGCTCAGTGCAGCCAGGGACACCTTGCAAGGTGCCAGCCCTGGGAGCCCCTCTCTCCCACTCCACAGCTCCCTCCACTCCTATCACTGGGCGGCCGAGGAGGTGGTACAGCACGCAGGATCAAAGCTAGACAGAAGGAGGAACAGCCCCACCCTTGGTGCACCCCCGTCCAAGCTGGGAGCTGCGTCCTTTTAAGCCGGCTGCAAGAGGATCCTGGCTGAGGGCTGGTGGCTGGCCCCACAGCCTCCCCAACCTCCTCCACTGGCCCAGGAGTGCCTAGACGGGTGCCCCCCAAAGGCCCAGCCTGGGGAGCTGGGCACCTCACTCTTTGTCTAACCTCTCCAGGCCACACTCTCCTCACCCCATGCCCTGGGCCGAGGTTCTACCAGACAGGCCTTCTGCATGACAAGAGGTGGGGGGTACAGACCTCAGGTGCATTTGACCCTGAGGTCAAAAGGGGTTCAGGTCAAGAGGTGGGAGAGGAAAGGGGGAGGTGGGAGGTGGAATCTGTAGGGAAGAGAAAAAAGAACGTCATCCACTGACTTGAGCAGACCCTGGGGAGTGGAGACAGGTCCCCGGGGAGGCAGACAGGTGACAGGTCATTAGTGCCCCCAGCCCCACCCAAGAGGAGGGCAGCCTGTGCCTGGCATCTGGGCATGGGCCGGATGACAGCCCAGGGTCTCAGGCATAGGATAACACGTGCATTGGACCTGCCGAGCGTGTACCTCGGGGGTCTGATGGGGCCACGGCCAACCGAGCTTCTGCAGAGACAGAGGCTGCAGCCCCTGGAAGGGAGGGGAAGGAGGAGGCTGAGGGCCTTGACCTGAGGCAACGATGGGGAAGCAGTGGCCCCCAGTCCTCTTCTGCCGCTCCCAGCCCCCTCCTCCTGGGGCCCTCAGGGATCTCACAATGTCTTCCTTGGCCCAACCAGGCAGATGCCCCGGGCTCCAGTGGGGGGAGGGGTCCGGGGTCTGGTCCGGGTTCCCTGCTTTCTCTATGTCCCCCCTCCCTCTTTCTCCGCGGTGCGGATAAAAATTGGACTCGAATAAAACCCTTGGTGCCCGGATGGCAGGTGGTGAGACCAGGCCTCTGTGTAGGTGGGCACCCGCGGAGGTTCAAGAGGGCAGTGGGGCTCAGACTGCTCCTTAGGACCGACCCCAGAGAGAAGAGCTGACACCCGGAAGACAGTGGGTCTATCCCGCTGCCTCTGAGTGTGAGGCTAAAACAGGACCCAAGGAGAACCTTCCTCCTAGCCTGGATGCCTGGTGGACTTTGAACACCCTGTACGGTGGGCTGCCTGAGCCCATACACCCAGACTAGCTTCAGCAGTGGATGGGGATGGGGTAGAGGGAGGAGGCACAGGGTGGAAACAGACGCAGGGGACCCTCACGACATGGCAGGGCGTCGCAGAGTGGATGGGATGCAGCCCAAGGCAGCATGTAGGTATGTGTCCAGCTGCTGCACCTCCCAGCCATGTGACACGGGGCCGAGATGAAGTGGGCATCAAATATCCTGACAGTCCTCAGCTTGGTGACTGTGACTGGTATGGAGTAAGCATTTAAAAGGTGGCCACAGCCAGGCACGGGGGCTCAGGCCTATAATCCCAGCACTTTGGGAGGCTGAGGTGGACTGATTACATGAGGTCAGGAGTTCGAGGCCAGCCTGGCCAACACGGTGAAACCCTGTCTCTACTTAAAATACAAAAATCAGGCCAGGCGAGGTGGCTCACACCTGTAATCCCAGCACTTTGGGAGGCCGAGGCTGGGGGATCACGAGGTCAAGAGATCGAGACCATCCTGTTCAACATGGTGAACCCCATCTCTACTAAAAATACAAAAATTAGCCAGGTGTTTGGCATGCACTTGTAGTCCCAGCTACTCAGGAGGCTGAGGCAGAAGAATCTCTTGAACCCGGGAGGTGAAGGTTGCAGTGAGTCAAGACTGTGCCACTGCGCTTCAGCCTGGTGACAGAGCAAGACTCCATCTCAAAAAAAAAAAAAA